AATGGAAGAGACACAATTCTAATAGAATTGGTTTCATATGAAAGACGTGGTTTTGGCTATGTAGTTCAAATACTTGAAAGTATAAAGTCAGTGGTGTGTGCAATCACCTTTATCTATCTTATATGTCTAGCATGACATAAAAACTTGATATGCATCTAAAGTCTATTTATATGGCTTATATGACTTAACTTATATGACAATCCCTGAAGGATTTAAATTGCTTAAAGCATATAGAATTCTTGGTCATGAAGTACTACACCCTAAGTGCAATTTGTGCACATTTGTATCTTGCTATAACTATAGGCATGATAATGTGATAGCGAGAAATTTTTACCCTTATGAAGATATTGAAAAGGTCATTCCACGACATTACACATCTATCAGGGATGATTATTTCAAGGTGAAAAAAATTTGTTCAAGTTAATATGACTAATTTGCTTATCAAATCTCTACCGACGATCTTTTGAAGATGGTGAACACTATTGGAATGCAAAGACTCAAAGATGTAAATTGCTCTTATCGGGGGGATTAACACGCGTTGTACTCTTTTTTTCTTACAAGATTTTGTCCCACTGGGTTTTTCTTGCAAGGTTTTTAACGAGGCAACCAAAGGCTTATTGTTAAACATGTGTACTCTTTTTCCTTCACTGGAATATTTTTACACTGGGTTTTATTTTAGTTAAGGTTTTAACGAGGCACATTATCTATTGAATAGACATTCAAGGGGGAGTGTTATAAATATATTTTACTTATGGTGAATGTCATATTTTAAAGAGATTTTAGGGTTTGTTACTTGGTGGCTAAGTCACTTTTCCCCCATAAATAGAGGGGTTCTATTCCATTGTAATTGATCCCAAAATCAATAAGAATTCTCTCTCTCTACTTTTCTCTGTAATACTCTTCTTATTTTATTGTTTTATAACACTTTTCATGATGTAGAAAAAATATTTTCTTTCATTTCAACAAAATGAGTATTTTCTTTTCATGATGTAGAAAAAGTATATTCTTTCATTTCAACAAAATGAGTACTTTCTTTTCATATTGTAGAAAGAATACTTTCTTTTTCAACCAAAAAAATAATATTTTCTTTTTAGTTATGGAGCACATTTTCAATGTTGAATTTGTACATAGTCATATATTAGTAGTGAACTTTTTGAATATATTTTTTGAATATAAATGTATCTTTCTATTTATAGTATTTTGTTTTTGAATCTATTTAGTTTTATTGTATTGCAGATAATATATGAACAAAGTAGAAAATGCACAGTCATATATTATTAGTGATATTGTGTGATGACCCAAAAAGGTCATCTTTAAATTTAATAATTATTTTTGTGTTCTGAGACCTCAAATAGCATCATTCAACTTTTCTCGACTCGCGTGCGCAGTCCGTTAATGTTTTCGAAAAGTTTTTATGTGAAAAATTGATTAAAATGTGAAATAGAGCTTTAAAACTCAATTGGGTTGACTTTGGTAAACATTTTTAGCAAACAGACCCGGATCAGTGTTCTGACAGTTCTGATAGGTCCGTATCATGATTTGGGAGTTGGGCGTATGCCTGGAATCGAATTCGTAGGTCCCTAACTCGAATTATCGCATGTTGTCGAAATTTTAAAGTTTAAAGGCTTAATGACTTTAAAGAATTGACCAATATTTGACTTTTGTAGATACCGGATCCGTATTTTGGTTTCGGAACCCGGTATAGCTCCATTACTATATTTATGGCTTATCTTCCAAATTTGATGAGAAACGGAGTTGGTTTGACGTGATTCGGACGTCCAGTTGTTAAAATAGAAATTCTAAAGTTTTCTTAAAAATCTCATTTGATTTGGCGTCTGATTCGTAGTTTCAGGTGTTAAATTGGTGTTTTGATAGCGCGAGCGAGTTCGTATGAGGTTTTTGGACTTGTATGCATGTTTGGTTTGGAGCCCCGAGGGCTCGGGTGAGTTTCGGACGAGCCTCAGACCATTTTTATTCAAGAAAACATAGCTGGAATTCTGGTGCTTCACAGTATTGGTTTCCTTCTATGCGATCGCGTGACTATGTCTGCGATGGCGAAGGCTTAATGTCATTGATGAAAATTTAAACTATACGATCGCATAGTAACGTCCACGATCGCACAATGACAGCAGGCAAAGCACCGCAAACGCGAAGGCCAAGCCGCATTCGCGTAGAAGGAATGAGGCAGAAGCTGAAGTACAAAATTTGTACTACGCGATCACACAAAGATGTCCGCGATCGCAGAAGGCTAAGAAATTGTGCTTCGCGTTCGCGAGAGCACTGCCACGTTCACGTAGAGCAAAAAGCTAGGCAGCCAAAAATGTGCTTCGCGATCGCAAAGCATTGTACGCGATCGCATAAGGTAAAATCTGGGCAAACAGAACTTAAGTTCTAGAAATGGGATTTCGTCCCATTTTCTAGAACTTAAGACGATTTTTGGGCGATTTTCACGGGAAACATTGGGGTAAAGTGTTCCTTATCCTATATTGATTATATTTCATGATTCCATACTCATTTACATCATGAATCCGTGAATTTATGGAGGAAAAATCAGATTTTTTTAAAATCTTCCAAAAATATAAAAATAAGATTTGAAGGTAAATCCGATGTCAGAATTCGATAATTTTTGTATGGTTGAACTCGTATCGGAACGGGTGTTCGATTTTCGTAAGTTTTTTCGAGATTCGAGACGTGGTTCCCACAATCAATTTTTAAAATAAATTTCGGATTTCAATTCGAAAAATTAGTAAATTCATATGGAATTAATTCCTACGATTTGTATTGAATATATTGAATTGTTTATGACTAGATTTGAGAATTTCGGACACTAATTCGCGAGGCAACGGTGTATTGAAAACTTGAATTTGGTTGCGAAGAGAGGTACGTGTCGTGGTTAACCTTGACTTGAGAGAGTAGGACTTATTTGTCTATTTGCTACGTGATTTAATGTGCGGATACAACGTATATGTAAGGTGACGAGTACTTATGCGTTGTGATTGAGTCAAAGCATGTGGGTGGAATTTGTTTATTGTGAATAATTGGCTATTTAATTAAGATATTCATGTTTAAGTTTATTATCGATTATTTGATCATTAATCATAAAATTTTTATTCATTTAATTATTTTTGAATATTTTAGAAGGTGAAGTCGGTATTCTGGTATTGAATTGATTGATAAGTGTATATCCCCGCACTTAAATACTCTTCCGAATTTATATTATTAATTTCATGGTAAGGAAGAGTGTAAAAGCACGAAGGGTGATGCCGTGCAATTTTTATTATTTATAATATCATTGCCATGGTAAGAAAGAGTGTAAAAGCACGAAGGGTGTTGTCGTGCCATTTGTGAGTGTAAAAGCACGAAGGGTGTTGTCGTGCCATTTGTGAGTGTAAAAGCACGAAGGGTGATGCCGTGTCATTTTTCAGAGAGTGTAAAAGCACGAAGAGTGATGCCGTGCCAAAGAAAGTTAAAGCACGAAGGGTGATGTCGTGCCAATTATTATTATTTAATTATCAGTTTATGCGAGGGAAGAGTGTAAAAGCATGAAAGGTGGTGTCGCGCCATTTTCATATTATCAGTTGCTCATTTTATTGTTGAGGAATTAATTGGTTTCTAAGTGATAATTCTCCTGCTGAAATTATTATATCACCCCCTTCGCATGTTCCCTCCCAAATTTATAAAGTGTTATTTATTGTTTTAGTGTTGCTTCATATTTGTATAAACTTGTACAGGTTGTTTACGTACGTGTCATGTCAAAGCCTCGTCACTACTTCGTCGAGGTTAGGCTCAACACTTACGGAGTACATGGGGTCGGTTGTACTCATACTATACTCTGCACTTTTTGTGCAGATTTTTGGTGTTTGTCATGGCGACGTACCATAGACGTGCTCGGATTCAGCTACTCAGAGGAGACTTGAGGTATAACCGCACAGCGTTCCCAGTTCTGAAATCCCCTTTTATCTTATCTTAGCTGTGTATTATCTTTCAAACAGCTTGAATTTTATTCAGACCTTTATTTGTATTATTCTACTAGCTCGTGCACTTGTAACACCAGATTCGGGGATGTATTTTGATAATTCAGTATTTATGGTCTTCCGCACTTTATTTCAGTAATTGACTTCTATTAAATTAAATTTGCTTTAAAATAGTTAAGATTATTTTAAGGTTGGCTTGCCTAGCAAGTGGAATGTTAGGCGCCATCACGATCCTGAAGGTGGAATTTTGGGTCGTGACATATTGCTTGATGTGCATTAAGAACATTTTCTTCCTAAAATGAAAACTGTCATATTTTGAGAAAGAGTAACTTAAGTTTATAATATGATAGTCAAATTTGAATAAATTTAATGAAGAAGAGTAGAAATTATTCCAGTTAAGCTTACGTTACTAAATAATCTGAGCAAAAGAAAAATTATAAATTGCACTTGAAAAAATAGTATACTTATATAATATGGGTTAACCCAATATTCAACCCGCCCATTTGACACCCAATCCGTTTTTGACCCCCATGAAATATGGGCGGGTTGAGACCCAACCAATTTTTACTCAACCCATTTTTAACCCGCCCAAATCCGACCCAACCCGCCATTTTTCCACCACTAGAGACAGACAACAAAATAGTGGTGAAAAGTATATTATATCACACATCTTCAGTTAGTTAGGGTGCAATACTCAATGCACTAATAGGCATGATTGAAATCCATGTCAAAATTTTCAAACATTTATTGGTGAAAATACCACTCATTCCTCTTGTTACTGCATCTTTCATAGCATAGAGAGGGGGAAGGACTAGGAGACAGGCAACAAATAGTGGTGAAAAGTATATTATATCACACATCTTCAGTCAGTCAGGGTGCAATACTCAATGCACTAATAGGCATGACTGAAATCCATGTAAAAAGTTTTAAACATTTATTGGTGAAAATACCACTCATTCCTCTTGTTACTGCATCTTTCATAGCATAGAGAGGGGAAAGGACTAGGAGACAGGCAACAAATAGTGATGAAAAGTATATAATATCACACATCTTCCGTTAGGGTGCAATACTCAATGCACTAATAGGCATGTTTGAAATACATGTACAAAGTTTTAAACATTTATTGGTGAAAATACCACTCATTCCTCTTGTCACTGCATTTTTCGTAGCATAGAGAGGAGAAAGGACTAGGAGACTGGCAATAAATAGTGGTGAAAAGTATATTATATCACACTTCTTCAGTCAGTCAGGGTGCAATACTCAATGCACTAATAGGCATGATTGAAATCCATGTAAAAAGTTTTAAACATTTATTGGTGAAAATACCACTCATTCCTCTTGTTACTGCATCTTTTCTCGGTTTTGAAGGCAGGAGGAAGATAAAGCAGTTGAAATCAATCTATCGGATGGCTACCAAATTGCCCATAAGCCCGAACCCTATCTCAAAATGTTTGGCAGTGGAAAATCCTACTTCAAGAGCCAACATCTCTAACTCGTTTCCTGTATTACAAATCATCCTTTTACCACGAATAAAGTCACAACAGGAAAGAATACAGCAATTTCACTAAATTAAGAGTCTTTTTCGCTTCATCAAAGAGAGATTTGATGTCAGCTTCAGTGTGCACTCTTTTTTTTTTTTTAAAGTCGTGATTCCTCTATTTTCTTCTTCAATGCATCATGTTTAGCTCAATCTTTCTCCCAAAGAATGAGTCTCTTGTTCTAATCAGTATGTTTTGTAAGCAAGCAAGGGAGATAAATGAAACTGGGCATGAAGAGATTTGAGAAATACAACCCAATTAATAGAATAACATGTTTTTCCAGAAGAAAATAAGGAATAGATGAAGAAAGTAATGTTTTTCTTTTGGCAAAATACATAAGTTGGCACTTGAACTATGGACCAAATCCCTATTACACGCTTTCTATGGACGAAAATAATATTGCACATTCAACATTTTAAAAATGTATCTAATAAACACCACTTCAGTGTTTGACCATTTTTTCTCGATAAGTGTATACTATGTGCCAACAAGATTTTGACACGTGTCCTCAATTAAAAAAAATGCTTAAAAACGATACTCCATCTTCTTCATCTTAATCGTCGGAAAATCGTGTCAAAGAAAAGCTAGAAACCTTGCATATTCAACCACCAAAATGATAAACACCAAAAAAAAAACTTCCATTTTAACCCAAAAACAACAAATTTTCATTACATTTTCAAAATTCATGGCTGCCACCAAAATTATTAACAACCATCCACCATTTTTGAGCAAAGGGTCTCAGACTCCTCCTGACCCAAATCCACCACCAACAGAAATAATATTTTCATATTCAAACAAAAAAAGAGAAGAAACGAACAAGTATAAGCCCCTAATAATTTGGATTACTATACTTCAAGCTTGTAAATTTTTTCTCAATTTCAAGAACCCATTTGAGTTCCAAGTCAACAGCATAAATCCCAGCAAAATAATTCTAATTGTAAGGCGAGATCTAAAATATCAGTTACACTTAAATAAAAAAAAGTAAAAGAAAGTGCTTCAATGGAGGAAAGTGGCCGTGGTGGTATTGACGAGGAAGATAAAGGGACAGAGAGTTCTGAACAAATAAAGGTTTGAAAAAAAAAGGAAGAGAAGGGATGGAGGTGGAGGTGGAGGTGGAGGTTGGCCGCCGGAAAAACAAGATAGAGAGATAGAGGGAGGGTGGGGAAGATGAGGGATTTGCTGACACGTGGCATTAAATAAGTATTTAAACAGTATTTTACTTGGTAGACGCGCTTCTATCTTGGTGTTTTACAGATGCTAGGTCTTGGTCAAAGAAGGTGTGTATTAGACACACTTTTAAAAGGTTGAGTGTGTAATATTATTTCTGCCCACAGAAAATATGTAACAGGTATTTGGTCCATAGCTCAGGTGCCAACTTATGTATTTTGCCTTTTCTTTTCGACGGGCGCATCAAATTAAACTTACTTAAGACTAAGAGGTTACTCATGTTACTTTATTTCTAAATCCAAAATCTACATAACATATCGTAACATTATGCATGTAGAAGGCTTCAGAACTGCTTAGGGGTCGTTTGGTAGGGTGTATAAGAATAGTATTGAATAAAGTGTATTGGTAATGCAAGGATTAGTAATGCAAGCATTAGTTATGCAGAGATTATTTCTTATCCACTGTTTGGTGTGGTGTATTAAAAATTAAAATGTATTGCATAATTTTTAAGAAAATTAGTTGTTTACAAAAACTGCCCTCCATATTCTTTACATTTAGGAGACTTTAAGGATAATTTTGTCATTAACCATGCTAATGCATCCATTAATAGCTTTGGTATTGCTAATATCATGATTTGCTATGTATTAGTTATACACAGGATAATACCAAATAAGTTGTATAACTAATACTTGTATTTGTAATACATAGGTTGAAAAAAGTGCACCAAACAAGAGATTAGTATTACCAAAAGTTAATGCATGCATTATTTTCTCTAATGCATCCTACCAAACGATCCCTTAAAGTAGAAGTTAGTCAAGGAAAACTGCTTAAACTACATTGGTGAAAAGGCCAGACCTGTCAGAAAGTTCTTGATAGAGCTTTTCAAGTATTTGTACTCATCTTCTAGGCCATAACCACTTGCTACTGGAACAACTATATTGTCAATCATCAACTCCTAAATAGAACACAAAAAAATTGGATAAATATTATTATGCTACTACTAATGAGAAGCGGGAAAAGAAAACATTAAGAAGTTTGCAAACATAACAATCTGTAAAAGAGATAACGGAATTACCAATAATGCAGAATAACAGATTAATCCCCGGCATCTAATGGATAGGAAGTGGCTTTTTGTCATGTGAAAAAATATTGGTCCCACCTTTACAGAAAAACTAGTGGAAAATGTATATGGATGCAGTTTCAGTGTATAGCAACTTTACTGACATTATGTGGGGTAGTATCTTGAGCTATATACCTACAGACAATATTCAATCACTTAAAATTGTCCAACTTATAACGGTTGAAGATCTCTATTTGCCTACTATATCCTTCAGAATTCTCATAAAGCAAATTCCCCCTTCTCCTTCCCCTTCCCATTCCCCTGCTCCCGCTTTTCCTGCACCCTAAAAGAACAGGATAAGCTTCAAGAGTCTACTCTGTTTCCATTGTTGTCATCATTTTTGCTAAGTAACAATATGTTCTGTATAAGGGCCTAAAAGGTATGCACTGACTACATCCTTAAAAAGCCAAGGAAGTCCCATTGAATTTCCTAATTTACAAACAAGTGTTTCAGAGATGGTTAATGCCCATCATTATTTCAAATGTTCAGATGGAACTGCAATGATCCCTTAAAAGCATAGAAAGTTTTACATCAGATAAAGCAAAAGATAATGAAACCAATAACTTACTTTACAGATTTTTGGGTGATTAAGAAAAAATAATAAATATAGTAAAATAAATTTTTTGGGGTGATGCGAAAAGAATGTATTAACCTGCCAACAAATACCTGAATTGTGGTGCTCAAGGGGTTGATGCTTTTATTGAAGTCAAGAATAGATATTGTTGAGCCTGGTTTTAAGACTCGACATATCTCTGTCATAGCTTTATGTCTATCGATCACATTTCGTAATCCATAGCCAATAGTAACAGCATCAAAGGAGGAGTCAGGAAAGGGTAAATCAAGTGCATTGCCTTCCATCCACCTTCATTATCATATGCATTAATACTTCACAATGACTAAGGGAACATGAAAAGCTAATTGGAAGGAGTAAGAAGGTAAGAGTACAGAAGATAAGGCACATGTAACTGGTAAAAGTAGTGTGTGAAAACAGTTTGGAACTTGACTAAATTTTATTTTTAAAAGCAGATTTTGCTAACTTTTTGTTGGCAAATAACCTTCCAAACATAATTTGTTTGAATACATTGACATTTTAATTACCAATGCTCACTTAATGTTCTTGTAACATGTCTTTGAACGTAATTTCTGCCGAGTCGAAGCGGTTAATAATTGTTCCTTTGAGAAATCAAGACCAACCGCCTGCAAGGGAAAAGGCCAGTTCAGTGAGATTTGACATCAGAAAATTCATGAATTAAGATAACTAGCCTAGGCTGCCCTTCATCAAGTAATCCACTTACATTGCAAAAATTAATCTTGATTTAAAGACACAAAATATAGTCAAATAACTGAGAAGATACATATTTTAGTGACATAAGAATCATGCCGCTCTGCTGTGAGCAGTTTTTTGTTACATTTCTGAAATAAATAAAAAAATGGAACATTTAAATATGCGAAAAGTGCAGCTTTCGTTTGTTTGGGAGCCAACTCAAATGAAAGCAATAGCCATTAGCAACCCAAAGACCCAAAAACATGAAGAACAAGGAAGGACAACAAAAAGAAACATTAATCATCAGGCTAGAAATTGACATAAAAAATATCACGAAACAAAACCCTGAGATCTCAGTACAACTAACTGGCTAAGATTTATAGAACTTCACATACTGAAACAAATCTGGCATTCAGAAAGTTGAGTGATAATGCAGGACAGGATAAGTTGAGATTTGGAAGAAGTAAAACAGGAAACGTTAGTCCATGGAACTTGAAAACTGCTAAATGATGTTATTACCTAGATGCTCACTAGAGGAGAAAAGGTAAAACACAGTTCACAAAATCAACCTAAAATCAAGACCTAGACAAACTAGAAGTGACAATATCTTACCAGGTTCAAGGTCATTCAAGAAATTTTGTTTTTCCCTTTCGGTGAGTATTAAGGAGCTATAAAACTTTAAGCCAGAGAGATGGTCTCCTTTACTTAGTCATAGGAGCCATGATTTCTTCAACGAGGTTTTTCATTAAGCAGAAACAAATAGGCAGGAACTAGAAGATGCATCAAGCGACACAGGAATTTGCCGAGTTATGAAGGATGTCGATTAGCAAATAAAAAAAATAAAAATAAAAAGATTGACTGAGCAGAGATAAAGAGTAAATTTCTGATTCTCATAACACAACAACAGGTCACTATAAAACAGTTAACGAGGCACCCAGGGACGTTACATTTAGTTTGACAGAAAAGTACTTTTTAGACAAGGAGGAGAAATGGAAACCTTTTGAAAGGAACTAGGAATGAAGGCACAAGTTTTTTCTCTTCCTTGTAAGAGTGTTATCTTTCCTTACTTCTTATCCCCACATGATAGTTCAGCGCCACAGTAATTCATTTCTTTTCTTTCCTATTTTTCTATTGCTTTCATTTACCACAAAACAAAGGAAAGATAAATATGTCTTGACATTTGGAAATTCCACAGGATCAGCTTATTGAATTTCTCAGAATGGTCAATGGAAGAATTGAGTTGCTTCAGAAATGGTGCATAATAACCAGCAAAACCGTAATGTTTACATAAACAAAAAAAAAAAGAACTAAAAAAAAGAATAAAACTAAACCAGAGATAGCAGAAGGAAAGAAACGGAGACCTTGCCATAGGGTCCAACTCTTTCAGATAAAAGAAATGTCAAATCCCCACTTCCACAACACACATCCAGTACATTGTCCCCATCTTTAGCTCTGCAATACAATCTCGAAAGTTCCAGCTTAACTAGAACATAAATGTAGTTCAAATTCAAGAATTATATGCCTAAGAACAGGGGGAAAAAGTGGAAATTTCTACTCCCTCTTGTGTCCTGTCATTCTTCCCTTTTAAATGAATTAAAATAATATGCACTAACAGTGTAAGATTTTCATTAATTTAACAGCCAAGTGTTAGTTTACAGATATGTATAGTATAGTCTTGTCCCACATTGGAAGAGAAGTAATATCTCCTTGTAGTGTATAGCTATAAATAGGGACCTCTTGTATTGTATTTATCATCCAATATCAATAACATATTTTCTCCCATGCCTTCTCACATGGTATCAGAGCATTAGTGAGAAAAGATCGTTGTGCGTCATTCCAGCGTTAACCGGGAAGAAAGAACTTAGTCATCGTGCAATTTTTCCGGTGACCTAAGGCTTGTCTAAGTAAAAGTCACTTTCTGTCGGTGTTGTGCTAACACCAACACCACCATGAGGTAGATCACCCTCCGACGACCAACCCTTGAAATTTTATCCGGCAGAAAAGCCGCCACGCTCCTCCACGCGCCGGCAACAACAACTTTTCCGGCGAGGGTTCCGGCCATTTTTTCGCGAAGCTTCTTCAGAACAGTGTGCTCTCCTCAAATTTCCGAGCCTACCCATCTAATTCAAATCAAATTCCGACCACTTTTATATTTTTCCGTCGTGAACAGTGACCTTTCCGGCCATTTTTTGAAAACATTTCTTCAGGCCAGCTTGCTCGCAAAGAAATTCCGAGTCTATCCATCCTAGTTACGACAAATTCCGACAATTTGGAATTTTCCGGCGAGCTACAGTGTTTCCGGCACAGAACAATGTTCTGTTTTCCTGCTGTAAACAGTATTTTTCAAGCTATTTCTTTAGTTTTCTCACAGGAGTTACTTATTTCCACTATTTAAAGTTAACCCTACTACTGCAAATTGTAGCGACATGGGTACCGATACTTTGAATAGTCGGATAATTTTTTTAGCAGAGTATATTGAGTTCCTTCAGTATAAAGCATATAAGCAGACATCTTCTGAGATAGCTTCTGTTGTTCAAACAGGTAATAGCGTGACTTGTTTCTCCCAATCTTCATCCTCTGAGTCTTGGGTCATTGATTCAGGTGCATCAGATCATATTTCTGGTAACAAATCTCTTTTCACTACTATTTCGTATTCTCAATCTCTTCCAAAAGTCACAATGGCCAATGGGTCTCAAACCATGGCAACTGCAATAGGTCAAGCAAGCCCACTTCCTTCCTTACCTTTAGATTCAGTCCTTTATGTTCCCAATAGTCCTTTTAATCTCATAGCTNTCTCAAACCAGAGCAACTGCAATAGGTCAAGCAAGCCCGCTTCCTTCCTTACCTTTAGATTCAGTCCTTTATGTTCCCAATAGTCCTTTTAATCTCATAGTTGTTAGTCGCCTAGCCAAATCACTTAAATGCGTTGTTTTATTTCTTAATGACCATGTTTTTATACAGGAACGCAGTACGGGGCGGATCATTGGTACCGGGCGTGAATCAAACGTACTTTATTACCTTATCCTTGCTAAATCACATAGACTCACATCTTGTCTTCCTTCTACAATTTGTCCTGTTACTGATTCACCAGATTTATTACATAAACGGTTGGGGCATCCCAATTTGTCAAAACTTCAGAAAATGGTATCTGGTTTATCTCACTTGTCAGCTCTAGAGTGTGAGTCATGTCAGCTCGCTAAGCATACCCGCTCCCATTTCCCTCGGCGTCTTGATAATCGAGCAGAGTCACCTTTTACTTTAGTCCATTCAGATGTTTGGGGTCCTAGTCAGGTCAGTTCCACCTTGGGATTCCGCTACTTTATCAGTTTCATTGATGATTATTCCAGGTGCACTTGGATATTTTTGATAAAAAATCGAGATGAGTTGTTTTCTATTTTTCAGACCTTCCGCGCTGAAATTCAAAATCAATTTGGGGTTTCTATTCGCACATTTCGTAGTGATAATGCCCGAGAGTATTTGTCTTCCCCATTTCAGCAGTTTATGAAATCTCATGGGATTATTCATCAAACATCTTGTTCGTACACATCTCAACAAAATGGGGTAGCTGAAAGAAAGAAAAGACATCTTATTGAAACTGTTCGTACCCTACTCATACAATCTCATGTTCCGTTGCGTTTTTGAGAGATACAGTTCTTACATCTTGCTATCTTATTAATCGTATGTCATCTTCAGCTATCCAGAACCAAGTTCCATTCTCTGTCAGGTTTCCCCATTTACCTTTGTTCTCTCTTCCACCCCGTATCTTTGGAAGCACTTGTTTTGTCCATAACCTTACTCCAGGAACAGATAAGTTAACTCCTCGTGCTCTTAAGTGCGTATTTCTGGGTTTCTCGAGAACACAAAAGGGGTATCGATGCTACTCTCCTGACCTCCAGCGGTACCTTATGTCCGCTGATGTTACCTTCTTTGAAACCCAATCATACTTCACAGGTTCAGGTCATCACTTAGATATTTCTGAGGTACNTAATACCTTATGTACGCTGATGTTACCTTCTTTGAAACCCAATCATACTTCACAGGTTCAGGTCATCACTTAGATATTTCTGAGGTACTACCAGTTTCATCTTTTGGAGATTCAGTCACTCCAGCTCCACCACCTACAGCTCCAGTTGTAGCTCCACCACCTATAGCTCCAGTTGTAGCTCCACCACATATAGCTCTGGTTGTACCACCTACAACTCTGGTTGTAGCTCCACCACCTATAGCTCCAGTTCCTCCACATAATCCAGTTCAACCTTCTGCAGCTCCACCACTCTTGACTTATCATCGTCGTCCACATCCAGCATCAGGCCCAGGTGATTCACGCCCCGCATCAGATTCTGCACCTACTGCGGACTTGTCTCCTCTTAGTCAACCAATTGCACTCCGCAAAGGTGTACGATCCACACTTAATCCCGATCCCCACTATGTCGTTTTAAGTTATCATCGTCTGTCGTCACCTCATTATGCCTTTATATCTTCTTTGTCCACTATTTCTATCCCTAAGTCTACAGGTGAGGCACTATCTCATCCAAGATGGCGACATGCTATGATTGACGAGATGTCTGCTTTACATGCGAGTGGCACTTGGGAGCTTGTTCCTCTTCCTACAGGTCAGTCTACTGTCGATTGTCGTTGGGTTTATGCAGTCAAAGTCGGCCTGGATGGCCAGATTGATCGACTTAAGGCTCGTCTTGTTGCAAAAGGATATACTCAGATTTTTGGGCTTGATTATAGTGATACTTTCTCTCCTGTGGCTAAAGTAACATCTGTTCGTCTCTTTTTGTCCATAGCTGCTGTACGTCATTGGCCTCTTTATCAGTTAGACATTAAGAATGTTTTTCTCCACGGTGATCTTGAGGAAGAAGTTTATATGGAGCAACCACCTGGTTTTGTTGCTCAGGGGGAGTTTAATGGTTGTGTGTGCAGATTGCGCAGGTCACTATATGGTTTGAAACAGTCCCCTCGAGCTTGGATTGGTAAGTTCAGCACAATTATTCAGGAGTTCGGCAAGACTCGTAGTGAGGCTGATCACTCTGTGTTTTATCGGCATTCTGCACCTAATCTGTGTATTTATCTAGTGGTTTATGTTGATGATATTGTTATTACTGGTAATGATCAGGATGGTATTACTAATCTGAAGCAACATCTCTTTCAGCACTTCCAGACTAAGGATCTGGGCAGATTGAAGTATTTTTTAGGTATTGAGGTCGCTCAGTCTAGCTCAGGTATTGTTACTACACAGCGGAAGTATGCCTTAGACAATCTTGAGGAGACTGGAATGATGGGTTGCAGACCTATTGACTCTCCTATGGATCCGAATGCTAAGCTTCTGCCTGGACAGGGGGAGCCTCTTAGAGACCCTACGAGATATAGGAGGTTGGTTGGCAAATTGAATTACCTCACAGTGACTAGACCTGACATTTCTTTTCCGGTGAGTGTTGTAAGTTAGTTTATGGATTCTCCCTGTGATAGTCACTGGGATGCAGTTGTTCGCATTCTTCGGTATATAAAGTCAGCTCCAGACAAAGGATTACTATTCGAGGATCGAGGCTACGAGCAGGTTGTTGGGTATACAAATGCTGATTGGGCAGGATCACCTTTTGATAGACGTTCTACGTCTAGATATTGTATTCTAGTAGGAGGTAATTTGGTCTCGTAGAAGAGCAAGAAACAAAATGTAGTTGCTCGATCTAGCGCCGAAGCCGAATATCGGGCCATGGCTATGGCGACGTGTGAGTTAGTTTGGGTCAAGCAGTTGCTCAAGGAGTTAAAGTTCGGAGAAATCAGCAAGATGGAACTAGTGTGTGATAACCAAGCTGCTCTTCATATTGCGTCAAATCCGGTGTTCCATGAGAGGACTAAACACATTGAGATCGACTGTCACTTTGTTAGAGAAAAAATACTTTCAGGAGATATTGTTACAAAGTTTGTAAAGTCGAATGACCAACTAGCATATATTTTCACTAAGTCTCTTACTGGTTCTCGTATTAGTTACATGTGTAACAAACTCGGTACATATGATGTGTATGCACCGGCTTGAGGGGGAGTGTTAGTTTACAGATATGTATAGTGTAGTCTTGTCCCACATTGGAAGAGGAGTAATATCTCCTTGTAGCGTATAGCTATAAATAGGGACCTCTTGTATTGTATTTATCATCCAATATCAATAACATATTTTCTCACGTGCCTTCTCACACCAAGTATAGTAATATAGTGCACATGGATTAGTTACTCTATTAGCATGGATAACTTAAACACATTCCTAATGTCCAGCATGTTTTCAATTTCCGAAAAATAGTTAAGTACTTTATTTCAATATTAACCATTCTCAGTTTATTTACAAAGAACAAAGCATCTCATGATGTGATTAGTGCTTACGCGCCTCAAGTGGGTTTGGACGAGGAGATTAAGAGGCTCTTCTGAGAAGAATTTTACGGGTTGGTACGTGGCATTCCGCTCATCGAGAAGTTATTCATAGGAGGTGACTTCAATGGTCACATTGAGGCGACATCTGGGGGGTATGACGGTGTGCATGGCGGCTTTGGTTTAGGAGTTAGGAACGAAGGAGGTACTTTGTTGTTGGACTGTGCTAAAGCCTTTGATTTGGTGATTGCCAACTCATGTTTTCAGAAGAGGGAGGAGCACTCGGTTACATTCCTGAGTTTGTTGGTCAAGACTCAAATTGATTATCTACTCCTCTGGAAGTGCGATAGGAGTCTGTGCATGGATTGCAAGGTTATACCAAGAGAGAATTTCACGACTCAACATAGATTATTGGTGATGGGCTTAGAGATCATGAGGAAGAGGAGGAAGAGGTCGTCTATGGTCAACCCAGGATCAAGTGGGTGCTTTGACTAGTGACAAAGCGCAGGAGTTTGGGGGGAAGTTGTTGGCTATGGGAGCCTGGAGGAGCAGTGGGGATGCGAGCTGTATGTGGACCACGACAGCGGAGTGTATTAGAGTAGCTGTGAGAGAAGGGTTAGGGGTCTCGAAGGATTTCTCCGGCAGCCACAAAGGTGACTGGTGGTGGAGTGAGGAGGTACAAGAGAAAGTGGAAGC